TGCTTTCGGGGAGAGATTCAATCTTTTCCCATGGAAGAATTGCTCCCAATTATGTGTGTCCGCATAAATAGTTTTAGCCAGTGAACAGGTCGAAATTGGTCAATTCCTGTGATCTTTGCCCAAGTAACTCTCCAAAGTAAATGAACAGACTTTGGGGGTAACCAAGGTTGGAACATGACTTGCGGAAAAGTTACACACTGAACAAAACTCCATAGATTAAGTTCAGAGTGGGTGTTCTTTAACATTTTAGACCAAGTTTTCCTTCAGAAAAATGAGAGTTAAATGGACCAGATGACACAACCTGCAAAAGGATGCTGTAATAATAAATTGGAGACTACCCAGTACTTCTGACGATGGCAATCTAAGGAGATTAGAATTTCAAGTTGGAGAGGTTTTGTGCCAGGTTTTCCCTTTTTTAATAAGAGAAGAAAAAAAAAAAAAGCTTACTCTTGCAGTCCTTACTGCAGTTATACCTCTCACTTTCACATACTATGAAATCTAGATTTAAGCCATACTACATGATGGATATGTGTGTATTCTACTCACAGAGAGCACTTGTCATCGTACAGATTGCTCAATAGAGATGACAGAAAATACAGAGAAAACCCAAAAACTTCAGGGAAATATCAATATTTGAATTAAAAAAGGAGCATATATATTGCATATATGCATCTAAGCTTGGGGACTCTTCTAGCTCCATACTGTATTTTTTCCATTTTCTTGAAGCTTGACGACAAATGAATCGATATAGTAGGGAGAAAGGCAGAGATGAATTTCATTTCAAATTCTAATGTTCAAAGACATTTTTGTCACGCCATTCATGTCATAGCCTGCCTGTCCCACTGAGATGTCATCTTGTGATGTCCAGCTACTGCACAGGCAAGATTTCAGTTTGCTGAGATGCCTGTTGGCCTTGTTGGCAGGGCAGAGAAAATAGGGAGGCAGAGAGGGAAGAACAGCACGTTCAGGCATAGATATTAACTCGAAGGATTTAATAGAAGGGGCAATTTGATTTATAATAGAAATTCTCATCTCAATAAATTCCATTTATGCATTGTATATTGAACAAAATAGTCATTTTGGCTTAGATAGGCACAGGTGTCTAATTACTTAGCTACCATATTACCTGCCCATAATCAATTTAGGAGTGCTCTTATTCTTTGGAAAAAAATCTTTTAGCTCTTATCTGTTTCATTTCTCTTCCTTCGCGGCATGTCTCAGCAATGGCTGACTATCTGGATCTAACATAACAAGTAAGAAAAATGTAGAGATCTTTTCTCACTCAAAGCCTTACAAGGAACAAAAAAAATAGCTTCCAGGAAAAAAACACACCCATTTTCAAATTTGTTTGTTTATAGGGCAGAATTCTCTATATGGGTTGCCATATCACTTTCATCTCTTACAATTTATTTTAAATTGATCTGTTATTTAACTACTTCCACAGGAAATTTTATGTCCTGTATGTATCAGTGTTTAAAATGCAGATTAGTGCCTTATTACAGCCTTCTGACCACAAACTCCTTGTTTCTAGGCTGGTAAGAAAAAACATTTTGTAGTAAAGACAGAGACGAACAACTTTCCAGCTGGTAGTCCCTTGAACGCCTTGTTTGCTGTCAGTGAAAGAAAAAAAAACATCACAAGAGAGAATCATATATTGCAAAACAAAGCCGAGCCAAACAAGTACGAGTTTGACCCTCACAGTCCCAGTAGTGTAGGTGAGTGAGGAGTTTGCCAGTGTGAATGTAATCCATGGATTCAGCAGAGTCTGGCTTTTATCCTATTTATATCCAAGCCAGGTTAGCCGTGGTGATTAGCCATAAAAGTTGAATTTTGAATTAGCCACACCTGAATAAGGCTGAAGCCAGCAACTTAGCCTGATGATAGAAGGAAAAGAAGAAAAATTGGAAAGGAGCTTGTAGACAAAAAGATATTAAATTTGTTATTGACTTAACCATCATCTCCTAACCTGACTTTCCGTTCTGGCTTGGGCTGCAAGGAAAAGAGAAGTTGCTAGCTAGGCCATGTCACTGTAGGCCATGAGGAAAACAGAGGAAAGGGATTTAAATACCCCAGCACTTATATTTCTGCAGTGTCCTGTATGATCTTTCTTTCCTGAGCTACTAGAATCATCTGCCAGGGTATTTTTTAAAAATTTTCCCCAAAAGAAACTACTGACAATTGTAAAGATAACCTAATAAAACTCTTTCTTCTACTTTTTGTCATTCTGTGAGTGAATTAGTCTAAATAATGATGAGTTTTTATTCCTCTTAAAAAGTGGAAGTGTATAAATGTTTGTCTGTTCTAAAAAAGCTGTCACAACCACCCCAAAAAAAACCAAAACCCACAGCAAAAAGGACACTTCAGCCTGAATGTTGTTCTTTGTTTTCCATTTGATTATGTATTTCAATCTCAATTAATTACTTGGCTTCCAAATGTAAAGCCTGTCCAGTTCTTCCCAACATAATATTTAATATTCTGCCTTTCTACATCATCTTCTTAAGGATACAGATTGTTCTCACCGTTCATTTTCTGCACATTTGCAAACACAGTTGCACAGATTGGACGCCTTATGCTTCTTTGTGTGGCCTTTAATCTCTTCCTTTAAAACTTTTAAATTTCCCTTTTCTCTTTGATCACAAAGGCAATAAACCCATCCTCCCTACAGGTTTTAAGACAACCCGAGGTTATATGGCTAGGAGAGGCAATAAGGGAATTAGAGCTAAGAAAGAAATCGGTCTTGTTTGCTAATGACTTCTTATTTTCTGCTGCTGATAGAATGCGAAGATTAAATCTCTGTCTGCAAATCTTGTGAGGATAATCTAAGAAGGAGAGAAGCATAAATGATTAGACAACAACTTCTGCCAGCAAAGGGAAGCGAGAATGGCATTCGACAAACTTCTGGAACAGAGGAAATGGTCAGAGAGAGCCTAAGCAGCAAATAAGGCATAGTTGAAATGGCTGAAAAATTCCTCCTGGTTTTGACAGATTGGCAAAGGCATCTGCCATCCCCGCTTCTAGCAGAGCATTTGAAGGAGAGAAAAGGAATTTAAAACTATATTACTTAGAGGTGCAATATGTGGATCAAACCTGCAACAGAGCAGGGTACGTTTCTTCAGATAAGATATTGGATAATAGTCCCAATTAAGGTCCTTGCAAATGCACAGAGATATGCATCTGCTTAAATTTATTAGACTTGTACTTAAACCATAAACTGATTCGGACCCTCAGCTGACCTGGTAATGTCCATTTAAGAGAAATCTCCATTATTTTATTTAAAGCTCAGAGATTATGGTAAAATGCATCTGGTTCCAGAAATAGTTCAAGTGATTTCATCAAGGGACTGCTCTGTGTATCTGGATTTGTTTAGGAAAAGAGCGAGGGAGGAAGCTTATAAAAAGCGACCTATATTATATGTATAAAGCATAGCAGTTGCTTAAAAAAATGTACCCCAGTTCTAAGAAAGAGCATTACAGGAGGAGGACCTCTCAGCTCATATTTGTTCAAATAATCAACATAATTTTTTGCAAAACAAGGATTAGAGACAGAAAATAAGTACACAAATCAAAAGAGACTGGAGTTTCCCTTTGTTCTGTTCTGCAGTTTGAGACACGTTAACATTTTCTGTCCAGTTCAGTAAGCGTTCAGTGTTGCCGATCTTATTCCAGTACTGCTAACTACCAAGACAAGTTAAAATTGTAGAGCCAAACTTCAGCTTTCCATGTACGTGGGGTACGATTTCCTGAGCATTGTTCTTCTCACCAGCTGGTGTAGGTGTTCGTTGCAGTCCGTTGTTCACTTTGAACACTTTCAATGGGCAGCGCCTTTCTTTCAGAAATAATAACCTAGTAGTCTTCTTACTGAAGAGTTGCTGGCATTTTGTATTTTTAACTGTTCCTGTCGGATGAAATGAAATTAACAGAGCGTTCACTATTTATTTAAAAAAAAAAAAAAAAAAATTTAGGCTTCCTGGAAACCTTAGCTATAGAACATTGTGCCCCAACGGAAAAAACACATCGTTAGCTTGTTACTGATCTTGACAGTGTATGCACAACTTCCCTGAATTTTATGGCACTAATTCATGAGAGCTTTTTAACTAGTCGCCCTTTCCAAGTCCCAGAATCATGAGTAGAAATTTATTGCAGGCATAGCGTAAGTCACGTGGGTCACTAAGATGCCTAAATAATGAAATTATGTACACAGGCACAGAAGCATGCTACGCTGCAGATGCAAATGACCTGCATTTTCAAAATATATACCCATCATTTGCCTTGCATAGAACAAGAGGCTTGGTGTTCGAGACCAGATCCTGAAGGATTAAAAAGAAAACAAGCTCTGTGTGTGCACAAATGGATAGTGGAAGTTTCCAGCTTCCACCGAGGGCAATTCAACCAAAATTTTGATTCTCGGTGTAACGGCGACTTAGCCTGACTGGTTCACACAAAACACTTGCATTCCCTTATTGTCCCTAGAGTGAAAAGGTTAGAAACTGATCCAGAGTCTAGAAAGTCAGGGGTTTTGTGCAGTGATGGAATCTCGTTCGAGGATTAGAACACGATAAATCCAGTCCTAGTTGGCTTTACGATTTGTGACTGAAGTCTCTTTTGCAAAAAGTGCAGCGGAGAGCAGCGGCGTGAGCAGTAAGTGCTGCACACGATGAGTTGTAATTAACAGGCCACCGTCTCTCGATAAGACATAGCGGATTGTTCCCAAGAAAGTCCGTGGCATAATTCATTCAAGCTGTTGTTAATCTCGCTTAGCAATACCTTGCTTGTCTGTGATCTTGGGAACACCCGTTCTCTTCCCTTGCATGTCTGCAGCAGGCTGGAGAACGTGACTGTGTCCCTGCAAACACTTCAGTATCTGACACAGAAGCTGTTCAGGCGCGAGCCTAAAATACGTTGTGTTGTGTAAGTCAGTGAAATCACTGGTCACCGTTCTTCCAGGTGGATTTTGTAAAGATGTCATTCTGTTACAGTGTTGAATTTCTTTAACTCTTGCAGATTTTTGACAAAGAAGCTAAAGATCTGGAGCGAGAAGTCTGCTTCATTGATATTGCCAGCGATGAAATTCCAGAGCGCTATTACAAAGAATCCGAGGTAAGAGACAGCTGGATTGTGAAATGATGAAGAAAGGAGTGTGAGAGGCTGCAGGAAAGCCTTGATGGAATCAAAACTGCTTTATTTCTGTATGAAATCTTGCTGGTCAGTAGCGTTTCAAAAGCTTTCAGTTAGAGGGGAAGCAGAGAGCAACCTCTCTAGATTGCCTGACACTTTCTTTTGCAGGTTATTCCTCCAACCTTTTGAAATGCCTTCATACCCTTATCAGAGCATATCCTGTACTAGAGCTTTGAGATTCAGCTGAATTAATTCAAAGTAGAAAAGGACTTTTCTTTGAATCAGGAAGCTCAGTTAAGCATTCACAGGTCTGAGCAGTTCTGAACATCACTGCTGTCCTTGTTTGCATCCTGCCCTGACTAACAAGTCGTGCGGAGTGTCCGAGCTCGGGCAGAGGGCAGACATGCTGCAGTAAGAACGGGGTTGATGCACGTTCCTGATGCACAGGGACCCTGACACAAGACCAAGAGGGACTGAAGCACACCACATGCTGCAGTAAATCTGCCAGAAAGCATCAATGGCAGCAGACACACTCACTCTCTCAGAATTCCCTTGAAAATTGCTCCCATGTATATTTGATAGTGCACATCTCTGAAGAGCCTGTTTCTTTTAGGTCAGTGCAATTCACTGTTTCGAAATCGGCAACCACCGTGCAAATGAAGATGAGGTCTCAATGTTTTAACCTCAGACTTGAAAAATGATGGTTCACAACAAGTAGCTAGAAAGGAATGATCAGATCTATGCTTGCATTTAATTTTGGAGATATGATTAGCCTCTGGAGCCAAGTATATATTCATAGCTGACAATGAGCATGGCAGCTGTTTGACTATACAAAATGAGACTACATAGTCATTTTTAGGATAGAAAATGAAGACTTGCCAATGAATTTATTTCTATACCATAGGAGACATGATTTTCAGACTAAAAAAGTAAGGTACTTGTTATCTTCCATTTATAGATCCTATTTCAAGTTTTATGTACGGGTCATAAACCAAAATTGGGTCTACAGTAGAATGAAAAGTAATTTTATTAGTTTCCTTAGATAATGAAACCCATCTGTTCAGTACCAAAAATTATATAACACCTCATGAAACAGCTTATTGGTCCCATCATCTTGTCTGAACTCCACGGTCTTCTGGTTCCATTTAGGAATGACTGCTGCCATTTGGCTGTGTTTTAAAGAAATCATGTAAGATTTTTCGTCTTGGTGTGTGCACTTGCAGAAATTGCAAACATGAAGGTAACATCTAGCTTTTTGGCTTTCCTTCCCGTTTTTAATAGCCAACAATTAACCATAATTTCCATGTGATTAATATTATGATATAGAAAACCAGCCTCGTGTTAAGTGAGAAAATAATTTCAGAGTCTTTGTGTTGCTATTTCAAAGACAAATCTGGAGACCTGATTCCAGGCAAAATGGAATTTTGTATGGGTTTGAACAACAAAAATAGCCCAGCATCTGTTGTTTTTTCTGTGCTGATGGATGGTTTGTATATTGGCTACCAAATTCTGTTTCAGAATTCATACAAAATAGTTAAGAACACCTTAGCATTTAACTGTGCACATACTGTAGTTTATATTGAATTAATAATAGTTGAATTCAGTATCTTCCAAAGTTTACAAACTGTGGGGGTTTTATGCTACCATATGATGAACATGTAGCCAAATTCCCATTTCTGATGAGGCCTCTTACATAATTTAGGGACTATAAAAAGATTTTTAATGTTTGTAAATGTAATTTCCGTCTGTTTTCAATCAGAACAGCATAAAAAAGTAACTCTATGTAAATGAGAGTCTGTATTTTCCAAATAACAGTTTCAGAGGTAATGGAGAACCATTTACTGTAAGCTTTGGAAAGGTACTGTAGTTACACTAGTAACAACAATTGGGCTGCTTTTAAATCATTTAATCTGAATTGATACTAAGTTTAAAGATTGAAAGTGAAGTACAATCCTCAGGATTTAAGAATTAGATCCCACAGGATAAGTGTTCTGACTCCCATCCAGAAGGACCAGTGAGAATGATTTTCACTTCAGGCATGTTAGTAATCTCTTCATTTGAAAATTAGAGTCAGCGTGCTTAGCAGCTTCTAGAAATGAGCTTTAAATTTCTTTTATGTACTGACCAAAGTGCATCCCTCCTCAATTAAAAATACACTTCAGTTTTTAACAGCAAATTTCGTTATTTAGTTGTATTACTGTATATTAGAGAGCTAGCTTAAATGATTTAACCCTTCCACAGACGACTACAACTGCTTGCTCTTTGCTTAGTGCTTGTGAGCCTGCTTGTGGACGGGTGATCTCGGAGATGAGCAGACAGCACTAATTACACAGTTGCCATCAAGCTAGTGTTTGTGATTTCCGTTATTTTTAGCTTTAAAGTGCCCAGTTATCCTTCATAAGCCGTTTGGGTCAATATCGTATGTTTTTCAGAGCCATCTGTATGAAAAGCCCCTTTCTACAATTCGACTGTGACCTTTCTTTGAGTTAGTGCATCAAATAACTCATTGATTACAACAGAGTGAACCATAGCAGCTTTGATTGTGTGTGTACTACACCAATATCATCAACAGAGGGAATAATATTGCAGTTACCACAGGAGAGTTGGGAGATATCCAAGGGAGCCACGGCATCAGGCTCAGTACAAGCAAGTGAAGCAGCCATTCTCTGCTTCTCAGCACCTAGGATCGAAAAAATTCTTTTTCAGTTGCCCTGAAATGAATCTTATAAACAGAGGTACATTCTTCCTTCCATTGTAGCTTACATAATAATGGTTCACACATAAAAAGACAAAATGTAGAACATCTCCGTATGCGCAATATTCCATGTGAATTGCAGAGCTCGTTTTGACTTGTGCTGGTTCTGATGAGAGAGGTCACGTCTTCTGTGAAAACGTCAGGGTGGGTGAAGGGAAAAGTATCGACTTCAACTTTGTGCACGTCTGCCTTTTCGCTCTTTCTAAGTATTAACTCAAATTGAAAAGTAGAAAATGTGGTGAGCTGGAGGCTTAAGGAGAGCTGTTGTTTCACTGAGGAACACTTTGAAGGAGCCTCTGCCAATAACACCGAGTGATCTCAGAGTCACCTCTGGATGACCAGAGTCATCCAAGTGGTTTGAATTCCCTTAAGAATGGAAGGCTTATCTGCCAGTGTGTGCACAGAAAGACTTCAGTCACCAGGTAAATAGTGAATGGGAAGACAGTTTTGTTAGCTATTGCAGACACATACAGAGTCCAGTTCTGTCTGTATACTGGTTCCTGCTGTCCAAAGGGTTGCCCATGTAGAAGACTGGAGGCGGTATAACTGCAGCAGTTCTGGGTATGCCAAAGCAGATGACTTAATTTTAACTTAATGACCATCTACAAACTTCATGGCGACGTAGCCACCAGAGTACTTAGCAGTGCTGTCAGATCTTAAGGGTTTTTTTACAAGCATGGACCTAAAAACCTTAAACTTTTAAGACATTTAAATGTGAGGTTCCAAATGGAGAAAGCTTTAATCTGGATCCGAGCTAACAGGTTTGCCTGGTTTTCTGTAAGGAGTCACATATGTTTCCAAATCTGAATGTGTACATATTACATCAAATACAGTATTTTATATTTCTGTATAAAGAGTGTACAAGCCTACAGGTAAAAGTAGTTGTACATTTTGTAAAGTCATTTCCATGTGACTTTCCCATCAGTGAATATGTATCACCAGCCATCGTGTATTCCCCATATAGACATATGTATTTATCTGAATTATAGAAAAGAACAAAACTGAGCCGTGCTGAAGAGTGAGGGCCTCAAGTGAATCATTCGCTGAAAAGAAACAGTTACTGTAGATGTGAGCTACTGAGCAGAATGTTCTTTGTGACCGTATTCAAGTTCTCAAAATTAACAGTGTTTCATTTCCTGTTTATAACAAAGCAGTTGAGAGTTGGACAAATGGAATAAACTTTTAAAGTTACGTCCAAACAGAAAGATTTCGTGCAGCTGCTGCAGTTTTATTCTTCAATTGCTGGCTTTTTTCACTTTAACACAGCTGCACTGTAGTACGTCCGGCTTACTACTGTCCAGGTGCCTTCAGAATAACAAAACCTCTATCACATTACAGAGCCAGAAAATTATGGCAGTTGAAATAATACAGCTGCCTCGGCCCCCACACTGAACGTGTGCAACTATCAGCACAGTAGCTCAGCACAGGGCACAGCAAAACCAGATGAAAATTTCCTTTTCCTTACTAACTTCAGTTGTGAGCTTACATAAAGCCTGGCTGGCTGATCGTATTTTAACACCTCAGAACTGTCCCAATATTTACAAGTCTTCAGTATTTAACTGGCTTTTCCAGAAAATACATTTTAATGAAAATTCAAAAAGAGAAAAATAGAAAGTCTTAAAAAAATTACTCCACATAAATGTCTGTAGTAGCATCTTTACATCAACAAATCTTTCCAGACCCCTAGCATTTAAGCTAGGGAAAGCATGCCTGTTCAGATTTGGAAGTTCTCTGTAAACAATGAATGTATTTCATTATTTAAGTGAAAAACAACATTTTATAGTTAAATCTAAAAAGTCATTGCAACAACCCAGTGCCATATTGTCAACGTGTTGGCGTTTGCCGCCTGGGGAGGGGCTTAAAATTCCACATCTGATACCCGTGACATCTGCAGTCCATGGGGAAGGTTGAGTCAATAAGTGCTAAATGCCAAATGATGGAATCTCCAACAATAAGCATGCTGAGCCAGGAACCACCAGACGTGGCCTAAGTGAGAAACACTGGGAGACTGCTGGGTTTGAAACCGTACCCATCACACTGTGGCTTTTATTTTATTTTATTGTAATTTTACATTTTCTTCTCACATAAGCCCAGCTCATGGGTGATGATGTTTCTGCTGTGTTAGCAGAAGTGCTGTTTTTAAATCATTCTCCACCTGGCAGTAATGTATTGCAAATACAGCGTAGGTTTTGCTCCTCTGTAGCAAAAGGATTTGCCAGATGGGCTTTCCTAATAAATTGTGTCTGATAAAAGGACAAGAAGGTTATTTAAACAAAGATTTTAGCTATGTCATTACATTTAAAACAGATTGAGGATTTTGCCAGTGGATGAATTAAGGGGAAAATAGTGAATAGACACAGTATTCTTTGGATGATGGCTTCCCTAGAAAGGAAGGCCTGGGTGGCTAAAAGCAGAAATAAAAGGCACACACAACATTAATGATCCAAATAGTAACATAAAATGGGGTCAGAGCAAAGACAGGCTTGCCCAGTTTCTGCTCAGTGATGGAAGTGTTTCGAATGGGTATGCTGCAGTTCCTGCCCAGCGAGCGGGCTCGCCCTGCTCTGGCGCCTCAGAGAATGCACAGATTCCATTCCTTTCCCAGAAAGAGGAAGGAATGGCCATGATCCGGTACAGGCAGGTTCTCAGCACTTCCTCCTGGGGCCTGGAGAGATGTGAGCGTGGCAGATGAGTCTAATTGGTTCTATCTGGCCAACTTAACCTGGGAGCCACAGCAGGAAAGTCAGTGGGAGCAGTGCTGCGTACCGATAGGATTTCCACTTGCATGTAACAGAAAGTTTTCATCCCTGCTTAATTTTTTTTTTTTTTAAGAAGGACCTGTGCCTAATTGCAGAAAGGATTCCGGGCTATGAGTCTTAATCTGACAATTTGAAGCCATGAGTTGGGCAAATAAAATCATTCTGGGTTGTGGCTTTCATGTCAAAGTTCTCATTGCTTTCAGTGGTCTTTGCTCAGATACTGAGGAGCAAAAGATGAGCAGTCCTGGTCACACCGAAGGTCCTTCTGGCACGGCGTGCTCTCTGGGGCTGTGGCCAGTAGCAAAGGACTAGGAAAGGCGGAAATATATGCAAAATACAGAGATAAATATAGAGATTCTTCCCCTAAATACTTCACATGAACCATAGCTCAAGCAATTACTGAGCCAAAATTTGTGTCGTTGTATTAGTCCAAGACTTTTTTAAACACCTAATCTTTAGCATCCGGGTAAAAAGTCCCGTGATGTTACTTTTACTGATGATCACCACTCTCCTCTGTAAACAGTCACACCCTTGGAATTGGTGGCCCAGAGATTAAACTCTCGAGTTCTCTTCACTTAATTTTGCTGTGTGTGTTATGTCCCACCACTCAGCTTATACGCAGTCTCTGAGTTTTAGCTCACCTGAGCAAGCAGTCAGTAAGATGTTTCATATCTTGATCTTTCATACAATCTGTTCCCCTGAATTCTTCCTTCTTCCTGGCTTCCCTTCATCAGTCTATGGTTTTATAGTACCAATACGTTAATGTTTTCAGAAAGGCAGGAATTTCCATAAAAGCTATTAGGTAGAAGTTGCCCAAACTGTCCGTCATTACCTGGCTCTTTGCTTGAAACTGCCCAGCCAATTTGTGACTAAACACCATGTCCTTCAAGAAAAACAGACATGATTCAGGGACGCAAAGGTGCCATCTCTGGGCGCCGTTAAAAGAATTTGCAACTGGGAGTGATATCCTGGATGAATTGCATTGCAGAACGTGGACTATTTGTGAGCCACCCGTTTAAGAACAATTTCCACTATGAAGCCCCTTGTCTGCTGCAGTAACTTGACAAAGCAAAACAAAATGTTGCTTTAACAGTATCCAGAAGGTTCTTGCAGTCTGAAGAGACACAAGTCTTATGCATGATCGAGCAGGCGTGCAGTGTAGCTGTTTGTTATTTAGTTTTTGTGTATAAATACTGAATACTTGATACTGACTCAAATTCATTACATTAAATCCCTTTGGACCACGCTGACATTATTCCATTATAGATCTTGGTTTTGCTGATATAAAGTATCTCTTGACAACACTCAATGCCATTAAAGTGCCTGTCTGAAATGCTTAATCAAGACAATGGCTCCATCCCACCAGCACCATCCGTGTACGTCAGAAACAGCAGACCCTTCCTTACATTAAACTATTTTCCTTTGATTTTCCTTTTCTTCCCTTTCTGAATATCATGTCTTAGTTATTCCCTTTTTATTTTTCCTTCTTCTTATTATGTTGATTGCTTCAGGCGATAATCAGTTATAAACCAACTCTTCCAACCAGAAAATATCCAGATCAATCGGAGGTCAAGCTTTGTTGAGCGAGAAGATTGACCACAGGGTATGACTCTGGGTCGTGTCACACAGGGGTGTATTGCTCTGACCTGTGGTGGCGCTGGGTTGGTTTTCGTGGTGATTTAACATTGAGACCTTGTTGTACTGCAAGCTTAAAGCTCCTATTTAGAAAAGAATGTGTCAGCAATAAAAGCAATGACTTCCGCGGAGAACGAAGACTGTCACCTCGTTAGAGCTTTGTGAAGAAGCTTTAATGAGGGAGCTTCAGTTTATGGATAAAATCAGAAGCCAAGTCAGAAGATAACTAAACATTAGACAAAAGGAACGCTGAAGGATATATAGGCTCACACTGAATGAAAGGAAATTGAGATCAGAGTAGTCTTACCAATTTGTTAGTTTTTCTCCTGATTGTCTTCCATTTAGCGCATAATTTAAGCACACGCTTAAATGTACGTTTAACTGCTTTTAGAACAAAGGATGAATTTAAAACATTTTCCCGCATCTCAGCTTTGGGGAGAGCAACACAGGTGAGCACTGGTGGTTATTCTTGAAGACAGACTTTAGAAGCTGTCCTGTGAATTTACTGAAACAACATTATTTTCAAGTTTTGAAAATCAACACTTAATTGTAAATTGTTTCTGTTTACAAGATGTAATTAGCAGGATTGGACATCAAGTGAAATGGAATTATACCAGTATGGAAATTAACGATTTGAAAGATAAAATTGTATCTTGTACAGATTAAAGTAAACCCTGAAAATTAACTGATGTCCTTATTGGCTTTTTTGTGGTCTTGCTGTTTTAATTTCAACACCAATTTATTTGATTTTCCAGTTAGTAAAAGAGAGAGAGTGTTGAAATCAGTCAGTGTTTTGCCCAAAAATACGGTAACTCCGTTGTAATCAGGGATAGCTAAATTGGGGGAGTTTCATACTTTGCTGCCCACCTTGATACACAAGTTCCCTTAAAACTGAACGGCATTGTCAGGGTAACATCCGATGTGCCAGAGCTCAGACTGGACATGACTGCAGGAAGACAGGCACGGGCAGAAAGCACTGGTAAGTCACACTGAGGCAGCAGTGCAAAAGCAAGCTCTGAAGAAGCAACTTTTTTTTTTCCAAAGACCATAAATAACACTTGGAGTGCATTGTATTGTAATGACTTGCAATAACACATTTTCCTGTAGCAGAAAATGTCCTAGATGGTGTGATTGTCAAAGCATCTCCAAGAATACGCTGCCATTGATTCACTGGCTGATGGATAAAAGACAGAATTTGATTTTAGTATAACCTGGTGCTTATTTAAGTCAATTTCATATTACTTTTTCATTATGTTTTTTAGCATGTTTTCATATTTTGTGTCTTATCAAAACATTTACTTTAGCAAACTGACAAACAGGACTTCTCCTGCATTTCTCAGTATGTTTTCTTTGTTTTGCAGGATCCAAAATATTTCAAGTCGCAGAAGACTGGGAGAGGCCAATTGAAAGAAGGCTGGAGAGAGACTCATCAGCCAATTATGTGTTCCTACAAACTCGTGACTGTCAAATTTGAGGTCTGGGGACTTCAAACCAGAGTAGAGCAATTTGTACACAAGGTCAGTGAAACAGGAGCTGTCTCTCATCCTTCACGTAAGCAGAACTTGAGTACTACCGGGCACAGGAACGCAGCGGTGGCTGTGTAGGAGCTAGGGAGCTCAGCCGACTCTGCTTTCAGACCTCTCTCAAGGTCTGAAGGATCTGGAGCAGAGCCAAAGAGTTCCTCTCTGGACATAAACTCAACAAAGCCTGGAGATGCTCAGGTCTAAGGTTGAGAAAAACTATCAGTAAATTTTCAAAACTGTGATAAATATATGAGCTAAAGTATTTATGAGTATACTTGAGTACCGTACGTGTAGCAATGATGTGCAGAATTTCCTACAGACAGGTACTGGGTAAGTTTTCCAATCAGTCTACTGAAAAAATAATTAATTAATGGCATAACAGATAAATGATAATATTTTTCAAGAGTATTGACCTTCCATATGTTTAAAAAGCTAACAAGGAAAATGAATAGTTCTAATTGCCCAAAGATTAATGGATTCTGTACATATTCCCAAATGGCTTCCCGTGCTAGTCAAGGTGATCCAGTGTTGGCAATAGATCCACTTCAAGTGGGAGGCTGGACTACAAGAGCTTCAGAGCCAGTGTGTCTGACTCTCTAGGGCATGTCTTCTTCAAAACAAAACTATTGGAATGTTTTTCACTTTAAATCACGTTGAAAGCCTACAGTGTTACTTTTCTGAAATGTTTTGTTGCCGCAGAGGTATTTGACCTTTTCCTTGTTCCACAGGTGGTCAGAGATATACTATTGATCGGGCACCGGCAGGCTTTTGCCTGGGTTGATGAGTGGTACGGTAAGTATTCTCCAAATTTAGCCCATTTAAAAGGGCTTATGACAATTAACAACAGGTTTCCATTTGCTTTCATGGACCATCAGGTCCCAGTATAAGTTGTTCATGAAAGAGATGGAACTATGTTCGGTTTCTCTGGAGCACACGGAGCTCGTTCATGGCAGGTTCTTTGTAGCAAGAGTAGGCAGCCAGTGGGCAGCACACGGGGCTGTCTTTGCATCGCAGGCATCTCAGTGCCACCACCCTGGGGTGTAGGCAGATGGAAGCTCCCCCTGCTGAGAGTCACCTCTGGGGAGAACTGCATGCAGATCTGAATAAAGCTGCTTATTAAGACTGCATTAAAATGCAGTCATTCCCATACTGCAAACTCCTGATCCAACACAATTTTAGCTTTTTAGGAAAGTTTTAAACTGTCCATATGTATTGCCATAAAGAAAAGATGGAGCTCTAGTGTCCTTTCTGAAAAATGGATACAAATGTAAAGCCTGCTGGGTCTGATTCAGCACCAGCTGCACGCAAAAACTGTCCTGAATCCATAAACCAGCTGCAGCAATGGGCACTTCCAGTAGTACAGAGCAATCCTGAATATCAAAACAGCCGATTAGACTTTATAAAATAAGCTCACAGGGTTTGTGCATTTGGCGTGTGTTTTCGGTAAGATGAATCCATAATCATGGATACTTGTAGAGCAGTGTCTAAGACGTTTCTGTAACATATAATAGCAATGTGGGAACATATTTAGGATGTTTATTTAGAGCCTCCTTAAGCTGCAGGAAACACCATTTGAGGCATTTCACGGGTAAGAATGACACCTGTCTCTCATCAAAACTCAGAAACCTTCTACATTGCTTAGAAGTAGTCAGTCAGCCCAGCTGGTGCACACACACACGTCTCCAGCGACTTCATAAACCTGCATAACGTGACACTAGAATCTAACAACAAACTCATTGTGCTGATTTTTTGACAACATAGAAAAATTTGCATTTGAAATGACAATGTTCTTATCAATTTAATAGTGCATTTAAATCTTGTGCTGTGATGATCATAAAAATACTGAAATCTACTAAAAATATATTCTATTTTGGAATAGCCAGAAACTAGTAAGAGGATTTTGTATCCAGTGAGAAAGAGTTCTTATGAGACAGTGGGTTTGGGGTTTTTGTTGGGTTATTTTCATTTTTTACCTGATATATAGTGATCTGGTACAGGGAAACTGATGACTTTAAATAAAGCAACCTGACTTCCTGTAAAAATTTAGCCCCCAAATTTGCCCCAAATCCACCCAACATATCTATTAAAGTGAGACATAACAAAATGTTACTGAGAAGCACGGAGTCACCTGCACTTTAGCAGAGTTATTGATAAGGATAACAAGTAGTCACGAAGTTAAATGTATGGAATAGGTTTAGCCCAAAAACATTCAACCACAGATTTTCCCACCTTAAGTCTGGAAGCACCCTGTCACAAATACACTTTCCACAAGTGAAATATTTCAATGTACAATTATCTCATGGATTTTTACTGTCATAGTGAGTCCTTTTACTAAATAATGTAGTGTACTTTTCAAACTTAATTGTCAGACTAAGTACAAACCCTAAAAACTCCAGGCTTACTAAAATAGATATGAATAAAGGCTAAGTATATGGCAAGATTGATTTTTTTTAAAAAAAAAAAGTGCAGTAAGTTAGTTGAGTAACTCTCTGTGCTGTCTTTATACCACTGCATTGTATAACAGTTGGTAAGATTTGCTGACTAGAGGCTATCTCATTATCCAAAATGGGTGAGATCCAGTTTGTAAACATCCACTTCCATTTGATACATATGATCCGTAAAACTGTTGTGGTGCTGCTCTTGACGTGTTTAGGTGTGTAGGGAGAGATTTTCAGAAATACACTTGTTAAAGGGTCTGTGTGCCTTCAGTGTGTCTGTTAGCATCTTTTAAAATTAAAGTTTGAGAGAGACTTGGAGATGATGTAAGTCAGCTAACCTGAATCAAGTAATCAGCGTAATAAAATCAATTATTAGACATGTTATGTTGCGGGTGTTACTGATTGTTACTGTTACTGATGCTGTAAGTATGAATATGTCTTTTCATTAAATTTACTAAACTGGATGTAGCTTATTTTTAAGAAAATCTATTTTCACAGTGCTGTTTACTAATAAAGAGCATGTTCTCTGCTTGGCAAAATGCATCCTTAGCATGTTCCTGACATGGCTTATGAGCTCGTTTTTCATTCCAGATAACAGTGACAAAGCTAAAAGAGTGTGAGTTAGTGGTATTCCATGTTTCCTTTTCATCAAAATTTTAGACTGCGTTTCATTTTCACTGATGAAGTATTACATTGTGCTACTGATGTAACAGCTAAAGTTATCTCTTTCCTTAAAAGCTCTCGTAAAATGCAGCAAGAGCTTCATATCACATAACGAGGAGTGGTGTGATACAAGAACTTGCAAATCCAAGTGGCACATAGTAAACCTGAGAAAAATTATTGCCTCAAAACCAAAACCACAATGTACATTACCAAAGTGGTACATTTTTCCAAGTATACAGTGCTACTAAAATGCTATTTAAGTTTTATGAGTAAAAAATTGATGGCTGTTTTCGTGAAGCTCTGAAGTTACCAAACTGTTTCACAGAACAGACCAAAATTCTAACAGCCTTCATGTTCACTTACACCTTACTCTCAAGTAGATTTATCGAAAGCAGGGGAATACTCGGAAGAGTAAGGTCACACGTCAATTAATTGGATACTTTATGTTTTTCCTAGAAGTGTGGTTTGTGACAAATCTTTTTAAAAATTGCTTTGAGGACATAGCAAGGGCCTAACAGATTATGCACCAGTTTGACAACATCAGGCATGCCTGGACAATGATCAGCGATCCGACCGGTGGGATCGGCCTCATTTGCTGAATACATCTCATACTTCCAATTCAGTAAATTGCTTGAGGCTACAAAACTGTCCATGTTTATTAATTCACTTACTGGTATAATTAAATGTTGTTTCTGGAATCTAAGCTGAGGTGTGCTCTAACTGTAAGAATGTTTGCTGGTTTGAGATATGCAATGCAAAGGTAACATAAAATCTTTTTGAAAGTGCCTGGAAAGGTAAGTAAATATTTCTAATATTTCTGTATCTATCCTTTATTCCAAGGGATCTTCTAAAATCTTTTTAGAAGATCTTGGCCTTTGCCAAGGCCCGCACTTCAGTACTTTTTTGCCTACCTTATGTTACACGGATACTCCTAAACAATTTCCACTCCTTCCTGTTCTCTGACTCCCTTTGACTTAACCTTCTTACACCTTCCTTGGCTGATTTAACTACCTTTATGAGTCCATTTTCATAAAGCTAGTTGCTCCATGCTTTATTTTTAAATTCTTTTTTGGCTTCTGCTGAAAGGCTATGTGTTCCTAGAACCTTCTCCTTCAAAAAAAAAAATTAAGTTTGCATTGAATCAATGGAAAATGCCAACAATTTTGAACTTTTTACAGATATGACTATGGATGATGTTCGAGAATACGAGAAAAATATGCATGAAAAAACCAACATTAAAGTTTGCAACCAGCATTCATCTACTGTGGATGAAATAGAGAGCCATGCCAAAGCAAGAGTATGTCAATTTTTAAAACATATCGCCCATCCTCCGCTAGTACACCTGCACAGATCAGAGAAGAGCAATGAACTGATCTTGCTGACCTGTCAGTGGAATTTTGGGGAGGTTTTGCTTCAGTAGGAACAGAATCTTTCTCCGTGAAGTGCAATCCTGCCTTTCGTTTGCACTGTAAACTGCCACTGATGTAAGAAAGGGTGGGGCTGGGCTCATAGACAACTCCCTGTCTTCCAGGAAAACACAATTCTCAAATTTCAGTTGGATGCATAAAGAGGAAGTTAAATATCAGTTTTGCCTTCTATTATTTGAATAGTTAAAAAATGCAAGAGTTCAGAGTGCTTCAGTCAAAAAGCCAGGAACATGGGGAGTGGAAAATTTCTATGGGACTGACAAAATTGTTTGCTTCACCAGGAAAAAAAGCTAATGAATTATTCACTCTTTTAAAACTAATTTTAATGTTGTCATTGATTAGCTACCAACAAGGTGAGAATTATTTTCAGAAGTATACAACAGCAGTTTGTGCAGAAGGGCACGTTTCTGTGTAGGTTCTTTGATTCAGATTCTGGAAACTTCGTGAAGTATTTAAGTTCTTGATTTGGGCACCTCAAGTAGAGGCCTAAAATTAGAAATTGTTACTGTCTGCAAATAGAAAAGATGCAGTGATATTTGCTTTTGAAATGCTATTATTCTTTTTTTTTTCTACTACCTGCGCTGTAGAACTCAGTGATGGTTTTACTCATGTAACGAGTGTGGCACAAGGCCTGAAGGGCGAAGCCTTGAGGTCTTTCCTTTGTTCTACCAGTAAAAATCGTCACCAGTCTGAGAGGATGTTGTCTAAGCAGTAACCAGAAAGGTGATTCTCGTGTCTGTAATGCTGCAGCTCCATTGGCATCAAGGTTACTCCTTAGCTGAGCAGTAAATTGAGCATCAGTTCTGACTTTGGCTCTACACTTCAGGATTTGGCTTTGAATTAAATCTGCCAACCTTTGCCTTGGCTCCCGTGTGGCAAAATTGCCACTGAGGTCAGCACAGAATTTGTTTTTCATGAAGAAAAAAGAGAGTCTGAGCCATTTTAACTCGGGATAAGACTTATTTTACTTGAGCATGTGTCAGAAGAGAAGTGAATTTAAAGCAAGTGTAAGCTAAAAAGCCAAAGTCGACAGAAGGGACAATAAGTGTTTCATGTCTGAATTTAAAATGGACGGTCTTGGAGGATACCACTTAGGGAGACTTTAATCAGTCTTCACCTAAATGGCCAGCAAATTGAGAAATCCTCCTGTCCTCTTTTGCTTTCATTTACCCAAGACAACTTTTGTTTCGTGTTGCACAGAAGTCCTCAGTGGAAAATAGCTGAAACGAACGCGCGGGCTGCCTTTGATGTCGGGGTGCTTTGAAACCCTTTGAGTTCAGGAACACCACACACACTGTGAGCGGGTGTGAAACAAAATACAAATCAGCAAAACACGTTCAAATCCATCTCCAACACAAGTAGGTACAGTTCCTCTGAGACCATCTGTTTATTTCTACCACTTATCTCAGATTGGAAAAGAGCTTAGTCCTCACTCCTGATAACTGGCACAGCAAAGTGGGCTGAAAAGGTCCCTGGAATGTCATCTGCAGGGAAGAGAGGAGGCAGCTGGCGGTGTGCATGCTTTTGTTTATTTCATACAATGCTGTAATACAGCATAAAGCTGCTTCCAGATAACGTTTGCAGCCACAGCTACAGATGCATGCAGCTGGGTAATATCAAAAAGTGTCGATGTTCTGAAAGTGTAGGACTTTGTAAGCACCAGTGCCAGTCCCGTGTCCCAGACACCCAAATGTGTGAGAATTTTAAATTGATTAAAATGCCAGTGGGTTTTTTTCTGATTTTTTTTGAGCTTTCGGAGCTCAAAGAGTCTATAAAATGGTTTAATAAAACTTTATTGCCAAATTGTGGTCTTCAAAAGGAATTGCTATATACCACGAGAGCTATAAAGAAGTCACACAAATTGACAGCCCTGGTAAGCAAAGAGTAGAGAATGGTGGTGATCATGTCTTGATCATCCAGATAACTTGGGTCGTTGTTATTTGATTACGAAACACAGGTCACCCATATCCTACCACACTCCTACACCAGTCAGGTCACTGGTTTCTTTACCCTCTGACTCATCTTTACTGTTTTAAGTGTGGAGCTGGGGGGCAGCCAGGAGCAAAATTATTTACAGAGACACACAAATGTAACAGAACTCTCGACCGACTGGGGTCTTTTTAATCGTATCTCCCAAAGATTTAGTATCATTTATAAAATAATTACCCTGAGAGAATTCAGAAGTGATTTTTCTGGACTACTTTCACTGTGTCTTTTTTTGTCTCTGCTAGTAGTCAGCTGTTTCAGTTAGTATTGAGCAGATGTTGGGTTTGCTGTTCTACTTGGGGTAGGTATGAATACGCTGAGTTTCATTCTGTGAATACTTCAGATTTACAAATTTAACATGACATTCAGTGGAAACCATAAAATCTATTTCAGTTGGCTCAGGCAACGTAGACACGAAGCAGCAGGTTTCAGAAGACTCTTGCTGGTTTTTTTTGCTCAGCTTACCCGTTGTAGCAGATGTCATTCGTTTGGGATTTTGTCAAAAAAGTTTTGCACGGCTCAGCTCGGAGCACATCCATGCTGGGATCGCGCTGCCCTCTTGTGGGTTCCTACAGCACTGTGACACGTTTGTCACCTGCAGGAGAAGATCTCAGCTGGTTTTAAAGCTTTCCGTGGACTCGATTTTCCATTGCAAAGTGGCTTTAACCTCCCGTCTCACTTCGCCTCTGCTTTGCGGGGAGTTGAGCAGTGGGTTTGTCATTGGCCACAAACGTTTAAGCACAGATTCTGGATGGAAAAGTTGGAAAGCGTGTTGTGGCTGTATCAAGCGAGAGGGAATTCTTCAGGCTTTATCAGTAGAAAAGCCTCAGTTATGTGCATGCAGCTGCAACTAGAAGTCAGTATAAGCTGTGCATGAGAGGAGAGACAAATTTTTATTCCTTGATAATTATAGTAGACAAACAAACCAATGACAATTCTTTACTCGGTCGTGCTCATAAGTTAGATGGAAAAAAACCCAAACCAGCAACCTTATTTTGTGTGAAGTTCTGAAAAATTCTACTTGCTAACTGTGTGTCTAAATGCATTCTTTAATTGCCTGTGAAACAGCTTAATTTTTCCAGCAATTACAGAGGTAGGACTCTTTATTCAGTTCAGACTCAGGCAGAAGAACTGTTAGTGTGTGATTAATGTACTTTACATTATTTTATTCTTTACATTGGTCACTTATCGTACTCCAGTCAGTGCATTACGATAGGAAGGCGTTCGTGTGGAGAATCACTTAATGGTATGCATGATAAGCAGTCGTTCCCTGGTTTACCATTTGGATGGAAGTAGTTTAACTGAGTCGATGAAATGATCATTTGAAATTATTCTAACATGCCTTTATCTTTTTTACCTTCTTGTTGAAGACATGACAATGGATGAAGTCCGAGAGTTTGAACGAGCAACTCAGGAAGCTACCAACAAGAAGATTGGGATTTTCCCACCTGCAATATCTATCTCTAACATTTCCATGCCTTCTTCAACTCGCAGTGCTCCATCTAGTGCTCCATCAACTCCTCTCTCCACAGATGCTCCTGAATTCCTAACAGTTCCCAAAGACCGGCCTCGGAAAAAGTCCGCTCCAGAAACTCTCACTCTTCCAGATCCAGTGAAAAAAAACCTTTAAGTTAACCCAGCATGTTTCCTCCTGATAAGCCATGTCTGCCACAGCAAGAGTGACATAACTCAGTTTCTGCAAAGGTCATGGTGGTTTGTTGGTTGTTTTTTGCTTAAAATAATCCTACTGGTGTGGAAAGATTACTTATTTCCTCAGGCTTGATCCTTAAAACCTTCGGAGAAGTGCATGCAAGAGAATGTAGTTTATATATTCCTAAAGTAGTGTTTCAAGCCATATGGTGCATCTTACTGACCTACAATGAAATAGTCTGAGGGGAACCCTATAAAAGAAAATAAATATTTCTGTAGCAGTATTCTACCTACAAATCCTCATCTAGGTCATAGCATTTATAATTAGGAGTAGGTATTTAGTAAAGTTGCCAAGGACTTCTGAGGCAAATTAGTGCCAACTAGAATACAAAGTTAACAGGAAAGAACCCTGCCAGTTCTTCTTTCATAGCTGATTTCAAAATCCTTCCTACTCTCAGGCTTCTCCTGTGTGTTCATAAACCCTTGACCTGCGACTCATTGTACTTGAACACCAACAGCCATCACTCAGATTCACGTTTTGCTTAATATGACTCAGGATTCGGGGCCTAGCTAACAAACACAAAACTTTTAAAACCTAAAACATCACTGTATCGAAGCCCCAGTTGTAATTAATTATACTGACTTTGAGGCCATCATACTATTTCTATCTTGCACAGAATTTGTAAAAGAAACCACCTATTTCTTGTAGATAATGTATTTTAATAGCTCTCCCCTGTCCTTTTGTGATCTCTTAAGTCCATATAGGTGTTCATCAATGGTGTTCCACGTGTAAGATTGAAGAAAAGCAGCTAAATGGAGCCAGTTGAGAAGCAAAACCAACAAATTCTGTCTTGTCCTCACTGGAAGAATAGTGGTAGTTACACTGAATGTAGAGAAAAGAAAATATGAAACTCCTTTTTCTTTCCTGCCTCACGTGTTTCCTGAACGGCACAGTTGCTACTGGCAGAAGGCTGGTTCCAGGCTTTAGCGTCCTCTAGGGAAGGTGTGAGCAAAATCAGTCACTTCAAAAAGCAAATGAATCTGGGATCGCTCAGTCTGGTGTAGGGTGAGGTGCAGGGTGACGTTAAGGAAACAGAAGTGCTCTCCCTGCTCTGCGTGTGAAATCAATCTTCAGTCTCAGGAATTGAAATGTAGAAGAGGATGTTTCCCACTAGGGAAGTGTGGATTGCCCAAGGAGGAGAAAAACAAACAGCAGAAGTGGTCTCTTCCTCCCTTCCTTTTCAAACCGTAAGCTCAGTGAGGAGCTTTCCCTGCCGACCCCCTTTCCAGGTGCTGTGTTCTCTTTCACAGGTTGCTGTTCAATGAATTCCCTCGGTATCTGTTGTCAAATAAGCCACTGTTCAGTTCCCAGTGAATGATGGCTGTTGCCCGAATCATATGATCAAAGTGGGTGATATTTGAATCCATGGTACAGGCATTAAAAAAGAGATTCCTCCAGAGCTGAACTGTCCTGGAACGTTGAACAAGCAGTTTGGGGATGGCCTTTTCCCTGGACGGGACGTTTGTGCCGTCTGCTCAGCACAATGCTGTGACTTGACTGGCTTAAATGCACTGAACTTCTCGATGGCCGTAGATCCAGTAGAAGCCATGTTGAATGTGTGATGTTTATAGTGTAGTTTTAGTAGCAGGAGAGGCAATTCCTCTGCCAGCCTGCACTGAAAACAAATGTATATTTGTTTGATAGTTAAAATCCTGTAGCTAGCCAAATCTGGGAGCTCTTGGTAGGTTAGCCATGGTCTGACTTCGTGCGTTCTCCCACTTACTGTCCATGTTTTGCTTTGCTTTTCTCCTCAGAGCTCGTCATTCTGTGTGATTGGCAAACTAATGGGTGATTACTTTTTTGTTCAAAAAGAAGCTGCTGTAATGGTGCAAGCAAAACTTTCCTACAGTCGTTTATGGTTTCATCTGAAAAAGTGTGCAGATTAAGTATTCGTGATTATAACTGGTCTAATCTTTTTTTAATTATTATTATTTATTTAGTAGCAAGATTGAAACGTTGGCAGAGAAGGGAAACCTTTGAAAAGATAAAGCATTGTTTGGTTGTTTTTTCTTTTCCTGAATTTGGCCTGTATAGAAAAATGCTTTAGGTCTGCTCCACCTGAAAATCTGTTTTTCAATGAGTTTTTTTCTTTGTCAAAGAAGAATTTGCTCAGCCCTAGTCATAATGTCCTTGTGCTTACCTATTACATATTACTGGTTCTATCTATGTTTTGGCATCTGTGTTTGACACAGGTTACCAAAGCAGTCATTCCTTTACTCATATTTAACTAACTGATCCCAAATCCTATGTGGATACACTGATTATCATATTAATTAGGTTTGTGGATAAGGCATGTATGAAAATTATTAACATACCTCAGTAGGACACATCTTAGCAGCTGCATGACAGAGGTGTAGGATGAAGACACTGATCATGTCGTGGAAAAGATGACAGGCTGATTAATGCTGTGTCTCCGTCTGCACGTGCTGCTGCCGTAGCTCTTGCACCGAGCGCTGGCCTCAAGGATTAGCAGATTTATTGACGAAACAGCCTGAATTCAACGCTGGCCGCAGCAAGGATCACCCTCAGCCATGTTGCCTCCACGTTGCTCCCTAATGAAGGCAAATAAAAAGATGTGTAATGTTTCGTTGCTTTGGATAAGAAATACCCCAGGCTTTTCGTTGCCTGTGTAAGCACCTTCTGCTGTGTTCTGCTTTGCTTTCCCCACCAGTGATTCCCATTTGGTCAATATGATCTTTAAATATCTTTTTCTGTTTTGTTGATGTTTGGTTGGTTGGTTTTTAAGGTAGGGTAACTTTTTCTAGAATATTCCCAGCAAACACAAAAAACTCACCCAAAATTAAATGAAAAAGAAGGTCTGAATACTTCAGTATAACATCTTGAGGCAAATAGTTGTTTTCATTACTGATTTTTTTGCAGTGTTGTATTTATTAGGAGAAAAATAGAGAGCATTTTGCAGGTGTTCATCACTTCTTCTGCAAAAATAAATGATGTGATTGTTTAGGGAGTAAATCTTCAGAGTACGGTGCCACGAAGCAAAGCTGAACAGGCACAACAGCCACGTTCCTTCCTCCGCCACAGTGAGTGAAGAGTGACATGATGCAGCTCTGCTAGGACTTGACAAGGAATTTTTCATCAAGGAGAATACAGTTCAGAGCAAATAACGTGATTAGTTTGTTTGGGTTTCTATTAAAACCTCCTCCCACCTTTGCTCGTACTGTTGTGTATTTCATATAGAACAATCATTGCAAAATAACTGGCAATTCGTTGCAGCCTTTAGAAGGGTCGATGTCCTAATAAATTAAAAAAGGAAGGTATCTATAGAGACTGTGAGGAGCAGCACATTCCTGAAACACGTACCTAACAGGATTTCTTATGAATGTAATGGCTAATTTTGTAAATGACTGGATAAATCCTATGGAAAGAAACTATTTGACCTTATTCTTTGGCTTTTTTGATTATTCTGGAAGGCGATTTTGTGACATCTAGTAGCCAATTTGCATTAATTGCTGCTGTAGAGATTTTGAAATGGAAATATTTGTTTCTTGACTTTTAGTTTGGAACAAGATCGCTGTTTTGTTAAAACTGCTTTGAAGCTTGCTGCACTATAACTTCCCAACAATGTGCTGTCATTTGAAATACGCCAAATGTATCTGCTTTTTATGAATTAGTGAGTGCAGTAAGAGAGAGTTCATGATCTGTCAATAGGAGCTTTTCTGTTTCCATTGTTTGGACTTGGGTTTATATGTGTAAGTTAAAATCGCTAAAGAAGTCTAACAATGTTTTGCTTCAAATGAGCAGCATGGTCATTGAATTAAAATCTCCTGTAGTTTTTTGGTGTCACTAAAACAGGTTTCATTATTTTATTTCATTTCTGTGGTAATTCCACAGGACTCTGAATGAATTTCTTTTATTTAGAGCAATGACGACTACGTTAGGCAATACATCACTACCATCAAAGAAGGACCAAGTTTTGAAATGCTCTGCATGTTAAATAATGCGAGGCCCAGCAGGAGAATTTCATTGTCATATTTCTCATTCATATTACTTAGTTTCTGATTTTTCCAAGTTATTTATTGTTTTTAATATTGTATTTTTCCTTGCATTTTGTTGTAAATAAACTACCAACAATTATTCTTTACAGTTGTGGCTGTTATCTTTTACCAGGTCTCCTCTAGAAAGGAACATATCCACTAACATGTCTGTCCCCAGCTCTGCAAGTCACTTCCTCAATCTACCAGGTTTTATTGTGCCTCAGAAAAGGATTTTTAAAGATTTTATTAGGGCAAGTGTGTCCTTTGCCAAGGCCAACTGGCACAGCCGCCCTGCGGGGCCGAGGCAGGGCTGGCAGTCCCGATACGGCAGAGCGCGGTGCTGTCGGGCCAAGTCGCGACGCACATTCCCTTTCCCACGGCCCGCGGCGCCCGGAAATGCCCGAACGGCCTCGGCGTTTTCCGCCCTCGGCGCTGGCGGCAGCGCATGCGCAGTGCGGCTCCCCCGCCCCTGCC